TACAATAGCGAGGCCCCCAACTAACTAAATGTCCAAGTCTTAGTGCAAAAGGCGTATCATGAAACGAGAAAATCGTTCCACAAGGTTCAAGGCAGCTGGGGTCGCCACGCCCATCAACATGGGTAGCCTACATGAAATGAGCCGGAATCTAGACTCCATAATATCTAGAAATATCGAAAATCCGCTTTGCATAGCGAAAAATACATTTTTGACAGTTCTAGGTATTCCGAAATGCAGATTCGTTGGACCCCCCACGTTGATGGGCGTGTCGACCCCAGCGCCAGCCACTTTTTGGAGGGATTTTTCCGCTTCAAAAAACACCTCTTGCAGCGGGACTTCGGCGATTACTCAGATATGGAATTCGCTATAGCACGACATCAAAGTCTTATTTCCTCGGATTTTTTGTGGACGATGCCTTTCAGCGATGAGACAATCAAACGCCACTGAGGGTCAATTCTAAGCCAAAAGATGGACGTACTCACCTTCGGAGAAACGATCTTCTGTGGCGGTGTCACTATGACTTTTTCATGTGGATGCGGCGCAGCTATATAAATAGTCGTAGGTAAACCAGCTGATGAGCTGGGCACAGCTGCAGCGATCACTCCCTCTTTCGCACCAGGTGCAACAGCTACCGTTCGAGCTCGTTTCACTTGAATTACTGATGGAGGAGATCCCACGCGTGGCGCGGCATGGTGTGTCGCATCATGCCCTCGTGGAGGAGATCGTAAAGGTGGAGATATGCCGATATTCGATGGTGAGATCATTGAATGCTGGAAAGTTGGAACAATACTATGGGGAAACTATGTCCGAATCCTCACCTCAATTCTCGAGCTTCCCGCCAATGGTGTTTTAGCTCGAGGGGTTGAGACTTTCAACGGCATTCCGGCTGACTTTGAGGACTAAAAAGGAAAACTGAGATGATATGGTGAATGCGAAGAGATACACCTCTCTTTTCAGTCCTTCCGCAGCTGCTGCCGTTAGTTGCTCGTACTGGGAGATGGAAACACGTCTGGGACGATATCCACCCTGAAAAGTATATATCAATCATTTGATTATCCTTATCATTTTCAAAATGTGAAAAAGGCAAGAATTTCCGCCTTTCATGTTTTTCTTGAAAGTATAGATCGTTAAAGGCAGTGTTCCGGCAAAATTCTAGTTTTTCGTATTTTCTGGGCCTTCTCGCTATGAGGATCCCATATCTGGGCTTTCCGCGCATGAAAATGACGAAAATGAGCATTTTTCAAAAGCTTCCCAGGTCAGTAGAAGTGCGGCGGAAAAATTCCACGCCCCGCCTCCCTCGTTTCCGACCCCGCCCACTTACACGTATTTTCCACGAATACGACGTGGAAAGCCTCTGAAGACAGCTAATTTCTGCCATTTTCATGCGCGGAAAAGCCCGGATATGGGTTTCTCATGGCGGAAAGGCCCATGAATTGTGAAAAACTGGGAAACGAAATTCCGCCAGGACAATGCGGCTGAGAAACTTAGCAAAAATCAGCTTATTCATAAAACTGCTTATAAACCCTTTACAGCGAATTGTCTAAGACATTACCTAAATAACAGTGCAATTTCAAGAAAGAAAACTAAAGCTTTTGCACTGAGTAATTTTTCGCTCAGCCGATTCCGTTCATTCTTCTGAATTTCCAATCAAAAAACTTACCATGCTAAATAGATGCGTTGGCACTTCATCGTCGTCTCTTGTCAAGCT